TTTCTAGTCAAATGAAAGAGAACTCTGCACAGTGCTCCCAAGTGTGAGGTTAGCAAAGTTGGGGTGAACAGGAAGTATTACCTCTCTGGCTTTATAAGTCAAACCTGGTGTGTACTTGAGTTGGATGTACAACATTTGCATCTCTTGAAGTTGTAGGAACTCTTGTCTGTCATGTGCTGTGCCAGGGATGGCTCAGGAATGAAATATGCCATTTTGCTTTCTTTTCTAATTCTAATATCTGCTACTTGTTATGTTTTTACACATCTCCTTCATTTCACAGCCCCTCAAAATCTGTAGTATTCTGTATGTCTCCCACTTTTTCTCAGCAGTTTGACTGGTGAATAACTGTGTAACTATGTCCTCTTTCTGCTCTCATGGAATGAAATTGTGTGTGTTGAGGAGCTGTGTTTGCCAAATCAACCAAAATAAATAGGTGCAATAGTCACTGACAGGATGGGTTGCTTGGAAGTTGGAAAACAGAATTGTACACAAAAACTCCCTGTAAAAAGAGGCAAAACAGACTGAAGAGATCTGGAGCATTTGAATGCTTTCAATTAATGAGTGCCTTTTCCCATGAAATCTACAGAAACCGTAAGACATTTTACTTTATCAAGGTCTGTTGTGTTTGAAAGAAGGTAATAGTGAATCACAGTCTTAGAAGATTTTCTGTGTGTGTAGTACAAAGGGGAGAAGGGTTAATCATAACAGAAAAAGGGAATTTGCCCATAGAATTGAAAGAATTGTCAATTAAATAATGGTCTGGGCAGGAGAGATTTTTAAATAACGTGATGGACTCTAATGTATTTCATTATATTAACCCCACCTGGATTGTGTTGCTTCCAGCTCTGGGGTCCCCAGCATAGGAAGGGCTTTGGCCTGCTATAGTGAATTCAGAGGCCACCAGGTTGATTAGAGGAATGGAGCACCTCTTCTGTGAGGAAAGGCTGAGAGAATTGGGTTTGTTCAGTCTGGAAAAGAGAAGGCTTCAGGGTGTCCGAGTTGCAGCCTTCCAGTACCGTAAGGGAGCAAATAAAAACGATGGAGAGAGACTATCTGCAACAGCATGTAGTGACAGAACAAGGGGCAGTGGCTTCAAACTGACAGAGAGTAGGTTTAGATTAGATTCTAGGAAAAATTCTTTACTGTGAGGGTAGTGAGGCACTGAATAGGTTGCCCAGAGTTGTGGATATTCCATCCCTAGAAGTGTTCAAGGCCAGGTTGGATGGGGCTTGGTGTAACCTGGTCTAGTGGATGGTGTCCCTACCAATGGCAGGGGGGTTGAACTAGATGATCTTTTAAGGTCCCTTCCAACCCAAACCATTCTATGATGATTTTGAAAGAAGGTAGCTTTTCTCTCTCTCTTGAAAAGGTTTTTTTCCAGATACAGTCTCTGGAGCCCTGTCTGGCTTGTAAAACTAGAGGTAACATTTAGGTGACTCTTTGAGCTGGTCTGACTTGGGGCCCTCATGGTCTTAGTGCCCCCTCAAGCCAGCGCTGACTTCACGTGTTGGTTTGGGGAGAAGAACAGGCTGAAAACTAGACTTGCCTTTTTGTCTGGGCAAGCCCAGGACTCGTGGCTCCCCAGCAGGACAGGTGGCTGGACAGGTGGCTGTGAAGCAGAGTGAAGGGTCTGTGTGGGGCATGGGATGGGAGGGCAGAGCTCATGCATCCCTACGGAGAGGCTAGGAGTTGGATCCAGCCTGGAACTGCAAAATTAGGATGGCACCTCGCAGTGTCATTGTACATTCATAGCAGATTGCTTTTTGTCTCTAACCAAATTGCTAGTGCCTTCTGTGCTAGTCTCTGGTGGCTGCTGAAGGCTCTGGTGTTTAATAGCACCATTGAGTGGAGTCGACATTAAAATATCATGATAGGAAAGAAACCAAATAAAAGAAGTGGAAAGCTGCTACTTGGGAGGAGGATATAAGATAAATTAAAAAGAAACCTTTATTAAGCTTCAGTTTGTGATAATTATGCCTTTATAAAATAAAATTAATATACAGTAGGCCAAAGACACTGCCAGAGACTGGAAGGCAGAGTTGCAGGGGCCTAAATGCTCTTAAAACTAAACCAGCAATTTGAGGTAGGGAGGAGTTTTTCCCATAAACTTTGCATGTACTTGCACTCCTCTGCTCTAAAACTGTTTATCTTGATGCCTTGCATAGACCTTAGTCTGCATTTTTATCCTTTTTTTTTTTTTTTTGCAAAGTTAAATCCTTTTAATTAGAAATCAGCCTGACCTGTGGTAGTTCCTGAAAAAATCTCTTTGTATCATCTGCCCCTACTGATCTGTATTTAATGTAATGCTTTCACTAGCTTATTATCCTTTAACCTCCTGAGCAATATTTCATTGGTCTTTTAGCTCCACACAATCCTTAATGCTTCCTTTAAAATGCCAAAAGAAGAATTCCTGTTTGTATTGTAGTCCTAATGCTTATTTAATCCCCCTTTTATAATATTTTTCTGCTTCCTCTTACTTATTATTAACAAGTAAATCCTATATTGTCCTTAAGAACAGTTTCTGTTCTTTAGAACTAAATTGCTTTCACTTCTGTTGATTAAACTAGTACATTTTAATGAAAACTGTGTTCCTACTTACTTTTAAGCATGTTGACCAATGCTAGCCAAAACTGTCAAAGGGTATCAGATTTTTACAGGTTTTATGAAATCATCAGGTTGATGGAGGAGGAATGACCCAAATCAATGTTTCTGCTAGTGGAAAATCTGCAGCATTATTTGAAGTTACCTGCTCTGTTAGACCAGTGTGCTGGTTTGGGCTCAAGTAGAGCTAACTTTGTTCACAGTGGCTAGTATGGAGCTGTGTTTAGGATTTGTGCAGAACATAGCTGATAATGTGGAGATGTTTTTGTTCGCCTGAGTAGAGCTCACACAGAATCAAGGCCTTTGCTGCTTTCCTCACTGTCACACTGGGAAGGGAGTTGGGGGTGCATGGGAGATTGGGAGGAGACACAGCTGGGACAGGTGACCCAACCTGACCAAAGGGATATTCCATATCATATGACATCATGCTCAGCATGTAAAGTAGGAAGAAGAAGGAGGAAGGAGGGACATCTGGAGTGATGGTGTTTGTCTTCCCAAGGAACCATTACACATGATGGTCCCTGCTCTCCTGGAGATGCTGAACACCTCCTGCCCATGGGAAGCAGTGAATGAATTCCTTGTTTTGCTATGCTTGTGTGTGCAGCTTTTGCTTTCCCTATTAAACTGTCTTTCTCTCAACCCATGACTTTTCTAGATTTTACTCTTCTGATCCTGTCCCTCATCCTCTGGTGGGGCAGTGAGCAAGCAGCTGTGTGGTTCTTGGTTGCTAGCTGGGGTTAAACCAGGACTACCAGACTTAAACTGACCAGCTAGGTGGTGTAGATCTCTGAACCATCTGATGGTTATGCTGCTCTTGGACAGGCTGCTAAGGAGCACAGCTGAGCTTTACAGCAGTGCTGGGAGAGCTCCAGGCTGTAGCCAGAGGAAGCCTGGAGTTTGCAGTGCAGATGTTGTATATAAGTTGTGTATGTGAGATAAGTGATTCCCACCTGGCCTTGAAGTACCCCAGCTGGATGATTCCTAAAATTGAGCTGTGTGCAGCCATAATTTCCATGGAGCAGCCTTAAAACTATGTTAATCAATGATATTTCAAGCAGGAAAGGTGGTGGATATGCTGGGCTACACGTTTCCAGGGCTTGACAGCAGTAGGTTTGTTGAAGTCTCATTTCTGTTGGCGTATTCTGTAAATAGATTTTTCTTTTTAAGAGGGAAAAATCCAGGAGGAGAATATATTTGTAATTTTCGCTTACACCTTGCAGCAGCTTTATGTTGTAACAATTTTGAGTTTGGAGTTGCTTCTTTTGGGTTTTGGGGTGGTTTTTTTTTTAAAGGAGGAGAGGTTGGGAATTTTGCTGCTTTTTTTCCAAATGCCTTTTCTAAAAAGTGTTTCAACAGGATGTTTGAGGGAAATGTGACATTATTGGTTGCTGGCATTCCAGGGGAGTTTGATCCAACATATCATCTCATGCATTCCCTTCTGCACCGAGCTTCAGGAGTAATCCATGTCAGCTCTGCCAACATGTGAAACTGAACAAAGGACAGGAACTAAACAAAAGGCTAAAAATAGAAGAGGCACGCAGGGGAGAAGTGAACTCTTGGTTAGTAAACTTTGTTTCTGTCATGAGTAAGAGGGTCAGACAGTGCAGCCTGTCCTTATCTGTTACCACAAGCTCTACCTCCTTGGCAGCCTTAAAGCTAAAGAGCTGTTTGTACATCTCTCTGTGTTTGTGAGTATGGTAAGCAAGCAACTGACCCCAAAGACACACACCATGGGTTTATAGTGTGTGTCTTTGGGGTCATACAAAACTTGTCATAAAATATAATAGTTTATTGGTATTTTAGCAGCCGTACTTTGTTTAAGAAGTCATTTTGAAGGATACAGCTTGTGATTTGAGTCAGCTCTGACAAGCATATCAGTATATCCTTAGTTACTAGTATGTGTAGTGTTGGTCATAGCACCTTCCAGTATCTGAAGCGGCTGCAGTGAAGCCAGAGAGGACTCTGTTAGGAGCTGCAGTGACAGGACAAGGGGCAATGGGTACAAATGGAAGGAGAGGAAATTTAGGTTAGATATTAGGAAAAGTTTTTTTCCTGTGAGGGTGATGAGACACTGGTCTAGGTTGCCCAGGGAGGCTGTGGCTGCCCCAACTCTGGCAGAGTTCACAACCAGGTTGGATGAGCCTTAAACAACCTGCTCTGGTGGGAGGTGTCTCTGCCCATGGCAGGAGATTGGGACTAGATGATCTCTAAGGTCCATTCCAACCCCTAAAATTCTATGATTCTAAACTCTCTGATTCTGCGATTCTTTCTAGGAATGTTGTATCCGCTCACTGTGTTTATTCGTTCTGTTTTATCAGCTCTTTTCCGAAACACCACAAGCAGTTAACGCAGCTTACAAAAGAGTCCTGACCTTTTGCACCTTCCTAAGTCATATCTAGATGTCACCAGTGTTTCCCATGTTAACAGTTCTGAGCATGTTTTACTATATGTGCCTTCGGCGCCGAGCTAGGACAGCGATGAGAGGAGAGATGAACAGTCGGAGGGCGATCGAATCGAACACCCGAGCCTTACCTATCAATGTTGAAATAGTCCAGTATGCCAAAGAAGTGTTGGATTTCAGCTCTCACTATGGCAGTGAAAACAGCATGTCATATACCATGTGGAATCTGGCAGGTATCCCAAACGTGTACCCTAGCTCTGGTGACTTCACTCAGACCGCTGTCTTTCGGACTTACGGGACCTGGTGGGATCGCTGCCCTAGCGCTCGGCTGCCCTTCAAGAGAACACCATCCACCTTCTGCAGCCAGGACTATGTGGAACTTGCTTTTGAGGAGCCTGTTTATCCCACTGCAGTGCACATTCTGGAAACCTATCATCCAGGAGCTGTAGTCAGGATTTTGGCGTGCTCTGCGAATCCTTACTCACAAAATCCACCAGCTGAAGTAAGGTAATTTTTTTTTTCTCCTTTATACTTTCCTGTATGATGTTAAATGCTACAAATAGTGCTATTCAGTGAGCTTTACTTCCTTGTATTTATCTGTTTAGTATCTGATCTACTAACATTTTCTGTATTTCAGCATTAGATGTTTGGAAAAATGTTTTCCCAGTTGGTCTGGTCAGGCACTGGAATAGATTGCCCAGGGAGGTGGTGGAGTCACCATCCCTGGACATGTTTAAGAGAGTTCTGGATCTGATGCAGGAGGCTGTGATTTAGGGGTTTCAACATAGTGGCAGGTTAAAGGTTGGACTTGATGATCTTAGAGGTCTCCCTCACCTCTGAAGCTTCTATGATTTTTTTTAAAACTGTGGTGATGTGTTTTCATATCATCTTCAGAGATGTAGATGTTTTAATTAATGCAGATCCTTATATCAGATTTGTGTAATTATAGTTTTTGTGTTGGAATTTTTATGAGCAGTAATTATTGTCTGTACAAAAATCACTTTTGAAATGGCAGTTCTGAGTTCTGTTCTTCCTCCAATAAGAACAGAAAATTGTGAAGAAGAGGCTGAGGATTCACAGTTGCTGTATCATCCTGCTTCAAGTAGCCATAAACTTTCTTTTCTCTGCATGCTTTAGGTTTTATGTATAGTACAATCAGGCACTTCATTCATATGGAAATGAGGTCAAAACCAGAAGCACAGAACAGTCAGACAAAAGGTGATGCCATTTGTCTGATCTTTATTTTTGGTCTGATGAAAGTGTGTGAGCAGCACTTTGTTTCTACACTCACTTCATAGACTAAAAGAAGCTGATTTGATCCTATTGGTTTTCCTCATAGTAGGTAGTCCTGATGAAATTCCAGTGGAGGGGGTGGGGGCAGGAAGATGGTGACCTGGGGAATGGTGAGATAATGAAGAAAAACACAGTGAATGAGGTATGAAGCTCTTAGACGGGAGGTGAGGAAATAGAAGTGGATGGAGAAGGGGAACATGCTGAAGCACATAGTGAGGGAAAGCATTGGGAAAAGCTATCAGAACATGAACTGAAAGTATGCTGTATCAAAAAGATATTAACCCATAAGGGAAGGGAGAACTCATAGAAGAAAGACTTAACAAAATGTGTATTGTAGAAAATAGTATGCCAAGAAATACTGTCTTGCTTTGAAATACACACTTTGGTGGTAGAAGTGTTAGCTTGGATGCTGAGTGGTTTATCCCTGACTTGCCTTTTACAGATACAGCTAAAACCCAGCAAACTACTAGGTCTAACTTAGTATCCCTTGCTTCCTAATACTAGGTCATTGGTGTTCATCCAAACCCCCTAGAAAATCAGATGTCATGTTACATATTCAAAATTTCCTGTTAATATATTTTGTATGATTCTGTTATCTACTGTTAAGTGCAGTTGTTTGTTTTGCAGGTCTCTAATGAGAATATGCTGCACAGCTCAAAAGTAAACATCCCAATTCAAGGAACAGTGATAGGTCAAACTGGTAATAACAGGCTGCCTGATTTCAGAGGTAGAAGTGCCTTTGGCACTGCAATACAGAGCTTATTTACAGGATGGTGTGTGCTTCAGATTTTAAAACTTCATGTTCAGAACCTAATGTGAAATGACTTTTGGACAGTTACTCTGTGAACTTTAATTTTACTAGTTTCTGATGTAGTACAGATTGATGTAGGGATTATTTCTGTAACTTGGTAATATTGCATTAGAGTAACAGGAACACAAAGTGCTGCAGGGCATTACAGGGGTATGATTCTGATTAATAAGCTATTGCTATTTTATGTCTGTTTAGGTTTTGGTTCTTAAAACAGTGCACCTCTTTTAGTTTTGTGTGATGTCAGAGGAGTGCTGGAGGAAAGCTGAAGAAATATTAACTGAAGGAGCTGTTTAATAATGCGCACTAAAAGAAGGAGAAAATTTTCAGAGAGGTAAAAAGATGATAGTGAAAATACTAATACAAAACTTTTGAGGATGTGCTGTGTGACACATCTTGAGGTGTGGTCAGAATAAGGGCTCAGACTCCCTTCTTCGTAATAAAAGATGAAGTTTCTGTATGACCCTGTTTTTTAGTTTATGGGCAAGGATGACTTCTGCCCTGCCTACATGGGTTAGCAGTGTTGCTGGTTAGAAGAAGTTTGTCTCAGGGATCCTTGGAACCAGTTGTCTGTGCTGCCTCTTCAGTACTTGGCAGTCTTGATGCTGAAGAAGTGTCAGAGGGACTTTTTGTTTTCTTTTGGCTCACCTTTCCAAGGTGACTTGTCTGTTCAGAGCTGCATGTTCGATTTGTCTCCTTTCTTCTAAAGGAGGCAAACATGTCTTGTGCATGGTGTCTCCAAGGGAAGATGAAGGAACCCTTCTCCACATGAGGTATGCAATATTTTTTCTCTGTTCATTTGCTCACCTTTATGAGGGGATTCTGAAGAATTGCAAGAGCTTGGTTTCTTTTCTGCTTTGGTCCCTTGTTTTCCCTTCCAAAAATTCTCTGAGATGTCAGCTAAGAATTGTTTCTTTTGAAGACGGAATGCTGCTGATAATCTCAGGTGATTCCTTGTTTAACTGATGTTTTGGTCTTGAAGAACTGCCATAGTTATTTCTTCTGTTAAAAAAGGCCATGTGCTACTTACTCAAAAGGCACTTAGAACCTTGTTTTCCTCTTCTGACTGTTTTGATGCTTGGTTTTAAAGCACCTTATTACCAAAAAAACCTTCCAGTGCTGCTTTGTTTTATCAGCTGACTCTGGATCTGTTTCTGAGCAGCAGTGGAGGAAGGGCAGGTCATTAGGAAGACTCTTTTTCACTTTGATGTAAAAAGAAGGCCAAATTAACAGTGGAGTCAAAACTGTTAACAGGGGAAGGTCTGAGACTTGCTTAAGTGTTATGTTTAGTGGATTGTATTAGTCCAGCTAAGTAATCTTTTCTTTTTGTTAAGCTCATCCAAGACTCTGCCGTGAGTGAAAACTTCTAGCCTGCAAGAGGCTCTGAAGGACTCAGTGTACCACAGTACTTGCTCAAGACAATTTTATATATTCTTGAAAAATGGCCAACTGTGTGGGTGTTTGCCAATCTGTTGCTCACTTTGTGCTTCAGTTGCATGAAGGAATGAGTCCTGCAGGTGTTCAGAGCAAGGTCTGTGGTCATGTGTCCTTTATTGCTGCTGCATTGAGTAGTTCTATTACAGCTTTGTATGACACTGTCTCAGGTAAAAGGTCTGTGGTCATGTGTCCTTTGTTGCTGCTGCATTGAGTAGTTCTATCACAGCTTTGTATGACACTGTCTCAGGTAAACTTTATTCGGAGTCTTTTTAGAGGTGAGATCAGATCTTCATGGATGGGAATAAGAACTTATTTTTCAGATGGAATGTAATTGTTTTTAAATAATCCTAATGCTTAAAACATGACAGTTAATTTGAAAGTTTTTTCATTAGGGATTAACCAGCTCCCAGTAATTTGAAGATTCTCTGTCCTCTCATTTTGCTGCTTTAAACACAGAAGGAATTACATTGCTGCCCTCCACCTAAAACAGTAGTTAAAACCCCTAAATATCAGAGAAGCTCCAGTTTTAACACATAGAGACCTTCTGTGCTTTTTGTTTGTGCCACTCATACCTTGACTGGTGAGGAGTGTTTGGTAATTTCTTAAACTACATTAACATATGTTAGTATCCATGTACAGATTTGTTACATGAATTATC